AATGAATTATGCATGTATTCTAATAAACAGAGGTATCTATGCCCTTTAGAGGGATCTTTGTCTCACGTACACAATACATAAATGCATTGCTATATTTATATGTTGTATAGAATATTTTCTCTAATGGAAATTTGTTATAAGATTAATGCTGTGGGGGATAAAAGATGTAGTTTTGTTAGCAATTACTGTTAATGGTTTTGAGCAGGAGAGTTAGGTATGTGGCCAAAAAGTAAATGGATTGTTTTTCATCATAACCCCACAGCTGCTCTGACGTTCAATTTAATCATCTGTGCTTTTGTAAAACAGAATCAACAGGCAGGACACTGAAAACTCTCATTATTTCTGAGGATTTTCTCCTCAAACAGGAAAAAACTGCCGGTGGCCAAAAACACGATCCTGGAGGGGAGAAAGATCACAGACTCACTGATCCGGATTCCCTTCGATCTGTGCATGAACGTAGCTTCCTTCTCATTCAACTGTTCCTCTCACAATTCTTCACACAGAAATGAACAAAATGCCACAAGGACAAAATTCAGATTTTCCCAGTTGAAGATTCAAACTCAACAAAAGGTTCATATCAGTAAGAATATTCTGCAGAATATTCCTCAGATGGAAATAATTCATCATTGGCCTTGACCACTGAATATCTGCCTCTCCTCTCAATTCTTGACTTTATGAAGCGATAAATCATCTTATATTAGCAACGCAGCGTTTGACGTCTTGTTTCAGATTTCCTGAGTGGCATCTTTACAATCTTGAGAACAAGTTATTCACTGATACTAAATCAGTCGTTATTTATGACTGTTATTAATCTGTGTGCTCAGTGAAGGGCGGATATAAGCTCTCTCTCTTATTTGTTGTGATGATATTTTTCCTGCCCTCTGGCAGCTGGAAAACGTTTAGATTTCATAACTCCCTTAAATATAATTGAGTCAGCCGGCAACTGAGCCGTTTGCAGATTCTTCTTTATCATGATTGCAAATTAAAAACATTTTTACAAAATATTTTTAGCAATAATCACAAAATCAGTAGTTCCATATAAAAATCTAATCACTTCAACGTTATTCTTCTTTGTAATCATAAAATAGATCCTCTGGCAGAGCGTGGAAAACGTTTGACCTCAGATGAAATAATGAAACATGAAGATCAAACGGCACAAAGCAAAAACAAAACAAAAACTGACGTACAGAGAGAAACCAAATCATTTATAATCCCAGCATGGCTGTTCATGCTTTGGCTTCCTGCTCCCAAATTTACCTTACGGAAAAGAAAACTGCACAAAAACTACATTTAAACCAAATCAAAGGTGCAATGTTGAATTTGAGAATAATCATTTGAAATATTTTGTAAAATCAAGCTGCTTTTACAAATTACCACTGCAGATAGAATTAATATATAACATGTTAATACAAATGATTTTAACCAGGAAGTAAAGTATATGCAGTGGTTTGCATATACTTTAAATCATCTTAGATGAGATCATTCAAACATTAACACTTATTATATAACATAAATGCATATCTGCTTAGTAAACATAAACATCATTTCTTTATCCAAGTCACTTTCCTGTCATTACCCTGGAAAAAGGACTTTGATTAGATCAGTTGGCGTGTTTATTGGTAATGTAACTAGTTACATTTACCCAATTACATTTACTTTAGTAACTTTTTATTTAAAAAGTACTTTTACTTTTATCTGAGTAATTTTATTAAGTAGCTCTACTTTTGAGTAAAATGTCTGGATTTTCTTGTTTTGCTGCAGCCTCTGAAAGTTTCAGAGTGAAATGTGGAAACTTTCATCTCTCCGTTTCCTGCTGAGTCTCACTCTGAAAAGATCCAATACCGGATCTTGTGGGTTCTGCTGATGGATCTTGTGGGTTCTGCTGATGGATGTTGTGGGTTCTGCTGATGGATCTTGTGGGTCCCACTGCAGCTCAGGTGTCAGTAATTAGACGGTATTATCGCTCCATCTGATGACGGTTGTGAGGAACAGTGTCAGAAATGGAGGTGTGCGCCGCAGATTGTGTCATACATAAATTATAACATTAATCTCTCAGACTGCCATGCAAAGCGCCCAGTCGTCCTTCACTAACTGGTTTGAAACCAGAGTGAAGATTTACCAAATCTTGGTATTTGATATTATAATGATAATAATCAGGCAAAATAAGTTTTTTTCTAATCAGTTTCTTTCAGTAAGAAACTTGTTCAACTTTAGCAGAAGCTGCAGGTGAGTCTGTGTCTGTTTTTACCTGTTTCTGGTTAAAACAGGTTTGTTTTTCATTCAGTGGGAAGAAAATCCAGAAATTTTATTCAAGAGTAGAAATACTTTATAATAAAATTATTCAAGTAAAAGTAAAAATAAAATACTTATAAATGTACATAAAAAAGAAAGTACGTTCACAAGTAAATGTATTACTGTCTGACTCTAACCAGGATTTATGACGGAAAAGCAGGAAAATGTTTTGCCCTCTGCAGCTGCAAGTAAAACATTTTTACTTTTACAAAACGATTGAATAGTCTGATTATGTTGTTTGTAAAACTCATTTCAGTTTTTATCAGATATATTAGATTGTGATTCACTTTGTCCATTTTTGTTAATTTATTTTATTTACATTACATCCAGTGTTACATGTAATGTTAGGTCCAAGTTTTTACTTTTTTTTTTTTTTACAATTGTATTGTTATAATTGATTATTAATTGTTGTTGGGCTCTTGAAGTAAAACTGTTGATACAAAACGTTGTAGCAATCTGAAGGTTGCCTTCATGGTTTTCCAGTTTCACCGTTAATAAATCAGTGTATTTAAACTGCAGGCTTGTGGCTGGATGGAAAGAAAATGGCTGCTTTCCTGCCATGAAAAGTGAGAACAGATGTAGAGTTTGTGCTGATCTCAGGCGCTCTGTCATCCCAACGTGGACCAGATCCCAGAACGGTTCACACTCCTGCAGACGCCCTGCCAGCATGAACCGGATAAAAATAAACCTACTGATGAAACACAATCGGCCTATTTAAAGTAAAAAAAAACACAAAAATTAACACATTTTCTCCTTTGTTTCGTTATGTTCATAAGCTTCTTATTGGCACACTGTTTGGTGTCATTAAGGGAAGAAACATGGGAAAACATGTTTTAACCAAAATGCACCAGTCAGACACACTGTTAAAGTTTCACAAGTTTTTTTAAAGGACCAAAATTAAAATAATTCATATAAGAAACATAAAAATTTTTTTTTCAATAAAAAACATTGGAAACTGCAAGAGTGTGTCTGAGTCTGGGGAATTTTTGGGTAAAACATGACTTATTGACTGGATGGAAAACATTTTACTCAAGTAAGAGTAGAAATACTTTGACGGTGGCGCAGGGGGTTAGCATGGCGCACGGTTAGCATGGCGCAGGAGGTTAGCATGGCGCAGGAGGTTAGCATGGCACAGAAGGTTAGCATGATGCAAGGGGTTAGCATGACGCAGAGGGTTAGCATGGCACAGGAGGTTAGCATGACGCAGGGGGTTAGCATGGCGCAGGGGGTTAGCATGGCGCAGGGGGTTAGCATGGCGCAGGAGGTTAGCATGGTGCAGGGTTAGCATGGTGCAGGGGGTTAGCATGGCGCAGGAGGTTAGCATAGTGCACGGTTAGCATGGCGCAGGGGGTTAGCATGGTGCAGGGGGTTAGCATGGCGCAGGGGGTTAGCATGACGCAGGGGGTTAGCATGACGCAAGGGGTTAGCATGGCGCAGGAGGTTAGCATGGTGCAGGGTTAGCATGGCGCAGGGGGTTAGCATGGTGCAGGGGGTTAGCATAGTGCACGGTTAGCATGACGCAAGGGGTTAGCATGGCGCAGGAGGTTAGCATGACACAGGGGGTTAGCATGGCGCACGGTTAGCATGGTGCACGGTTAGCATGGCGCAGGGGGTTAGCATGCCCCACGTTTGGAGGCCTTGGTCCTCTACGTCCCAAATACTAGAGTAATTTCTTGGATGGATACTTTTTAGTTTTACTCGATAAACTAATGTTGAATTATTGTAATTTCTGGATCCTCTTCTCCGTCTGAATGCGGTAACTTTCCTGTTTTTTCACTCTTTCTTCTCTTTAAAAGCTTTTGACACGTCTGCGTCTTGTGGTAATTATCCTGGTGAATGATTACCTGTAAATGCTCTGCAGACAGATTGAGATCTGCTCACTCATTTCAAACCTCCAGGGAGGCGTTTCTTCAGGTTTACACCAGCTGTTGAAAGGGTGTAAACGCGCTTCCTGTCAGCGGCGCTACCGAACAGACGCTTCACATTTTCCACGCCGCCTCGGCTCACACACAGGCGGAGCTTTTTCACCTCAGGTTTCACTCGGTGAAGTGAGATCTCCAGTCAGACAAGTGTTTGACGTTTTTACCACTGTGGACAATGAAACGGTTCATCTGAGAACACTGTGGATGCAGAGCATCATATGAAACTCCTTGCATCCACAAAGTAAAACTGAGTGACATAGTTACAATAACTTGAGAAAATAATTCCTTTTTTTGCAGAAAGAAGTTAATTGTAGGACATTTTGATTTACTGTAAAGATTCATTAATCCATGTGCAAACTAACACACTGCCTAACTGCTTTAGAAATTTGGTAACTTTCTTCAGTTTAATCCATGCTAATATTAGCTTAAACTGATTGATTGTTAGCTTTTTGAATCTTTTTAGATCAGATAGTTTCTGATTATTGTATCTTTAGTTGATCAAAAAACATTATTTTAATCCAAACTTTATGAAAACTATCCTCGCAGTCAGTTTAGCTTTTTGTAAAATGTCACTGCAAAATGTAATTTTATTAATGCATGAAGATGAGAAATGTTTCATATTAATATTTTAAAGGGAGCTGCTAATACAATATCAGATATTTTACTGATGTTATATTTACAGTAAATCCTGGTGTCATGTAAATTAGAAATGCTACACCTTTATCTTCAAACTTTAACTATCTAAACCATCTTAGTTTGAAAAACCGACTCTGAACCACATGAAAATGATTTTAACAATATATTTATTTCCATTTTTTTTTCTTACAAAACAATTCCCCCATAAACCAGAACACACAAAATGCATAAAGAAAACTGTACAGGTTCATGTCATGTCTGAAGGTGTCCTATCTGGAAGAATGTTATCTACAGCAGTGGTTCTATCACACCGAGCAGCGCAGCTCTGCGCCACCGCGCCGCTGCGGCTCTAAAACAGGAACACTGATCCACAGAACAACAGGAGCTCGCCAGAATCGTCCGCTAACGGCTGCAGCACTGGTGCGTCTTACTGAAAAGTGACTTTTACAAGCAGCTTTTGGGTGATCTGTGTGAGGTCAGAGGTCATGTTGCAGAGTTGTTTGGTTACATGCAGGATTCAGATTTAGATGGGAGTGAATTTGGATTATTATGTAGTTGGACCTTCAGGAAGCAGAGCCAAAAACTAGTTTAACATTTATTGAAGAACATTAAACGACAGCAGGATGAATTCGGACACGTTTGTCTTCTCAGTGCAAGAGTGGTCTAAGAAACATCCAACAAATCGCTGTTGATGTTCTCAAAATTGTTTTCAGTTTGAAAACCAGAATGTTGCATTAGCAGCAAATATCTTCAGACAAACCTAAAAATCTGAACGTATCATTAAACTCAACTCGGGTTGCTACATGCTAAAACCAGACTTTGACATCTTAGTTAGTGGATTTCATTTTGAAGATGTTTGACCTGCCAAAATAAAAGCCGGCAACTTTGATTTAAATGGCTGTGAGTACTTGTGATCTGCCGAGTTACATTTCAGTTTTTCCTCATTTTAGAGTGTTACAACCACAAACCTCAGTGCTTTTGTTCAGGTTTATTGATATTTTGTGGAAATTTGATGGAGACTTGTGAAGTCCAAGAAAAAAGCAGGAGGAGTTAAAAGTTTTCATGTTTTGTTTGTGGCATTTATACCAATTTTGGTCAAATGAAACTAATATTTGCTCGTTTTTGTGACATGGTTCAGGGTCAGATTGGATTCTCAAGTCATTTTTTTTTTTAGATTTTGTATCTCCTTTGAATTAAATCTACATATTGCGGCTCTGTCTGCTTAGTGCTGGAAGGTGAATATTCACCACAGTCTGTTTTTCTGCTACACATGAACGGCTAAAAGTTTAATTATAATCTCATGTGATTTGACACTTTCTACATGTTTTCTGTCATCTTCTGGTTTTTAAAAGTTAGTTTACAAATCACAGCCTTTCTTTAAATTTAAAGTCATTTTAATGACATGCCAGAAAAATGATGGATTCACTGCAGTTTTCTCCCTCATGTTGCTGGTCAGCTGGCTCAAATAAAGCTTAGGAATGGTTTAAATTCAATTTTGTGGAAAATGAAGCAAGCAGCATGTCTGTTAAGCTGGAAGATAATTAATTTTCCACCTGATGTCAGTTGAATTTAAATATAAAATTCTTACTTTTAAAATATACCATTTCTCACAATAATGACTTTCTTTTTGTGTCTCTTCCCTAGACTTAAGATATGTGTAATCCTGCTCTTGTAGTTTTGTATTTTATAACTTCATTTGTTGATTTTTAATAAATCTGATCAGAGAACAGAGGGCTTAATGCATTTGTATTCTACTTTAGGTTGTTCTATGTACATTGAAATTTGTGGTTGTAACGTTGCAAATATGCAAAATGATAAAAAGTTTAATCTGTACTCACAGGAAATCACATGAACCTGTGGAAACTCAAGTAAAAACTCATAAATGTTGCTAAAAACGTCCCCATTCTGCCTCAAACTAAGTTGTTGTGGCTGCAGACAAAACACCAAATGCACAAGTTAGCTGTTAACAAAACGCACAAATCTAATGAGAAATGTTGAATAAGTTGAATAAGTGAGCTGCCTTCGTGATCCAGAGGATCAACGTTTATAGTAACAACATCTTAGCTACATAATGTAGATTAAGGCATTGTGTGACTTTAGGGCAACTAACTAAAACTAAAACTAAGTAAAGATTTGGGTCTCTTGAATTTATCCACTGAAGCACCGCGGCTCGTGTGGTTAGCTTAAAAACTCTACATTTGAGCAAAAGAAGCGAGTTTTCTGTCATGACACACGTGACCTGAACAGATTCATTTTTATTTACTTTTATAATTATTAATGTAGCAAGTCACTCAGAATAACGTTGTTAAAACTCAGTAAATGAATAAAACATTAATTTATCCAGATAGTTTTCAGGTTTTGCTCTCAGATTTGAGGTTTAAATTCTGTAGCATTTTGTTCATATAACTGCATGAATAATTAATGTACACTACAAAAACATACTATATTGCCAAGTATTTTTAGTGTAGTTTCTAGCATAAATAGCTTAATACACTTGAATTAAGACAAAATTAAGTTCAATATAACTTATTAGCAAGACACACAAGTAAGTTTTTAAGTAAATTTAACTGTCAGTAGAACAAGAACTTTTTCATAAATATTAAGTAAAGGTTTATTTAAAACAAGCTTTTGTATCTTGCTGAATATACTTGTAAGTTTTGACTTAATTCAAACGTAATAATATATAAATGGTAAGAAAAAAACTTGGTAAGATTGTTATTTCAGCGCGTCTCTTCGTTTTGATTCCTGCTTTCTGCTGTTGAAGACGGAAAGTTAAGTTAGTTTTCAGACATTTTGACAAATGCTGCTGCTGTTATTCTAAATATAGGATTTTCCTTAATCATCTACAAATAGACCTAGAATCAGCTTTCTGACAAATCTCATAATTTGAAACAAAAGTCGCTCATAAGCCGTTTTAGTCCGATACGCGGCTCCATTAAGCGTGTCCAAGCTAAGCGTTGGTGTGCAGAGCAGATGTGCTTAGTGAGGCTTTCTTGTTTCAGTCATTACTACAGCAGCAGCGATATCTGCTAATAGCTCATCATTGCTATGATTAGTGCAACTGCAGAATCACAATTACACCAAGAATGATGCAGTTCAGCTGGAGAACATGTGCTATTCTGATACACAAAGAGTTGCTGGTGTTCATTTAGTAACTTCTCTAAGAATTCATGAACCCATTGCAGTGTAATGTCACACCCCAGATCCGGCCCCCAGCTTCCTGCTGGAGAGCAAAAAGCTGTTCGCTCCCATGACTAGCATTGGTTTAGCTGCCGAGTTGTCAATGCAATAAATATTAAATCTACTCCTGATATATAAAAGAAAAAGAAACACAGAGCGTTGCTGCTAATTGTCATCACTACAGTCTGTATGTCACGTAATCGACAGAGCGAGAAAAAAAAAGTGGTTTTGAGTTGTTTGGTGTTTTTTCTGCGTTATTTTCCCTTTGCTGTGGCGCTGAATTAACAACAGATACAGTTTCATTTAGTTAACGGTTCTTCTTGATGGATGGAAAAGAAAAGAATCGTCTTTTTGCCCTCCAGCGTTGTGTGGGAAAACATGCAACGGGTCCATAGGACTGTTATTACTAACCCTATCTGATCATTTGAAACAAAAGTCGCTCATAAGCCGTTTTAGTCCGATATGCGAGTCCATTAAGCGTTGGACACTTAAGCTAGCTTATATGCTCTGTGGTTTTGTATAAATTACATATTGCTAATGGTTTTCAAAGATACAGAACATATTTTAACTAACGGTTACACAGCTTGCTTGAACTTGCTTGTTTTTAAGAAGTTTTACAGCCACAAAATATTTCCTAAGTACCACTGCTGTGATTTAAACTCCTTTCCAAGCTTTTCTAAACTCAAACTGCAGCCATGTTTGAGTCATCCTACAGATTTGAGGATGTATGAAAGAACGAAGGAAGGCAATTCCTGGGAACTTTTCACAGAAGCTGATTGTTGGATAGTTGAGCTTTCTGCTTCTGTTGTTTAACAGAAACGCTGCGTATTATTTCAAAAACAAGCATTCAATTTTCTCAAACAACAGAATATTTGTCTTTCAGCCAGCTGACTGGCAGTGTGCAGAGAAAACTCCAAATGTTTTTTTCTGGCATCTCATTTAATCCTTGTAGGCCAAACGTGTCAAATTTGCAAGACCGTAATTCAGCGCCATGGTTTCTGAGACGTTGCGCTTTCCAGGCAATGTTTGGCCTGATGTTGTCTGAGGGCCAATCTTAATAGATGGCAAATTATGAAAACTACTATGATATTGACATTTCCAGTTATGAATAACTGAGCTAATTATTTACTCACAGGAGATTTAAAGCACTTTGTACAGTCAAAAAAAGCAAAAATATCCAGGCGGAGATTTTAAACTTGGGGCTCAAAGGGTTAAGCCATAACTTGACGCCTGTAGCTGTCTTTCTGAATGGATGCACAAATGCTCACAGCCCATCAGAGTGGATGAATGATGCTGCTTTTCCTTGGCCTCAGCGTAAACCGGAGCCGTTGCCCCGGTGGATCGGCTAAGTGGCGTTTTTAGGCTTCGCCGCACGGCGCTGTGCTGCAGTCAACATGGGGAACAGTGAGATGGGGGAGATTAAACCATTGTGGAGATCGCTACATACTTTCTGTTTCCTCTGTGACTGAAGCATCCATGGTTACTTAATGGACCAATTGGACTCTTTGGATTGGCAACAGAAATAGAGGGAATTAGATAAGTGCATGAAGCCAACCTCTGCCAGTATGAATGAAAGCTTTCAGAGAGTACAGTACAATACCATGAGTGAACAGATGTTCGCTTTTAAAAGGACTACACTACACACTAGAGGCAGACAAGACAGACTGTTTGGTGACTATATGCAGCACTGGTGAGAACGACAAACATGAGATTAACAAAACTGGGAAAGCTTTTTATTCTTAAAAAAAAGTGAGCATTGTGCATAGTTCATAGTTGTTACTTTCGCCTCTTCAGGTACCTATTTGCTGTGATAACATGGAAGGAAGTGCAATAATGTACAATTCTGTATAGTAAAGTGCACATAGATCACTGTTGCACTGAACGGCATTGACACTTTCTCCCAATAGGAATATCACGACAGATTTTCTTAGTATTTTCTCTATTTTTAGGTGTACTTTTGATTCATCTCTCAGGCGTGTTTCCCCTCTCAGTCCCAAGTTGGGTTCACATAAATCTTAATGATAGGTAATTTGGCCTGATTTCTCCTTTTCTTGTTTACTTCTAATTCTAAGTCTCCGTTTTTCTGGCTTTTCTTTTTTACTCATACCTCGCCGACCCAGACCACTGTGTTGGCTCTTTTGATGTCTGAAACCTCGCAGTGCGGCGTTCTCTGTTTGCCGTCCAGGACGAAGAGCGACTCAACCGACGGCGTCACCAGGTACTGTCCAAACAAGCCGCTGGAGACGATCACTCTGTTGGGGCCCCCCCACGGCCAGGCCTGGGCGGCCAGGGGCTCCTTCAGGCTCCGGAGAACCTCTGTGCGTCCTGATGACAGATCGGCAAACAGCAGGTCTGAGCCCGACCTGGACGCCGCCACCAACATGTGTTGGTTCGATTCCGTAAAAGAAGGCTGGAAAACCATATCGGAGACACTTATGGGCTCGTCTAGTTCCTGGTTTAGCGTTAGCTCTCCCTGGAAGGACACCATCTGAACTGTCAGCTTGGAGCGCCTCAGGTCCGGCGTCACGACGTAGCGACCGTCTGGCGACACGTAAGCCTGGCCTGTGATGTTCTGATTGGGGCCGATGACAGCGTCCGTCACGCTGTCGACGAGGAGCTGGGCCGGAGCGCCCAGAAGGCTCTTGCTCTGGCACTGGATGAAGTAGAAGCCGCTTAGGTGTGTGTAGGCCATGCTGGCCGGGATGCAGCTGTAGTTCTTCAGACTGATGGTCTTGACGCGTTGGAAGGTCTCCAGGTCTATCTTGTGGACCGCCGGCTCATTTTTCAGGAAGACGAATGCAAACCTACACAGACAAAGATCAAACAGGAGGTTAATTGCCTGTCAAAGCTTTTTTGGAGGAGACGGGATTATTACACATGGAAATTCTCGTTTGCTCTGATTGAGCAAGCAGTACGGCTACTGGAGAGTCTAAGGTCAGACGTGGCTGGTTTACCTCACGTGAGTTATGATGAGGTTAGTTGGAGGGATGAAGAAGTTCGTCACCCTTTGAAAAGTGGTTCGGATGGCGTGATGAACTTCACCCACACTGGCTTGAGGAATTACCTGGAAACACCGGAAATATGCAGAAACTTGAGCTTTCTGTAAACTATGCTGTACGTAGTTCCCACAAGTCTGAACCAGAAATGATCGGTGCCATCTTGGTAGGCAAGCACAGAGCAAAGAATAAACGAACCATGGCTTCCAAACCTACAAAAACAAAGTTCACTGACCAAATTCAAAAGAAATGTATGTAAAAATAGTGGCTGCTGGAGATGGAAGGATGTCAGATGACAATTTACTTTGACGAATTTCACTACTTTGTGAACAGAAAGAGTTTGAATGACATGGAGGAGCTGTGGAAAGGATGTACGAACTCTTTAGAGGAATAAGAAGGTTCTGGTCACTGGCAGAGTGAGTACAGGTAGCAACACCCATGGAGGCTACATGTCCGTCTTAGCTAGCAGCAAAAAGCAACATTAGCTAAGCTAATTTGGAGTACGAACTACAGTAAATATCACTGATATTTATCAGTTTTACCCAGAGGTGGGTGGAGTACGCAATAGTTATGTACTTACGTTGTTTATAAGTAGATAGGAATGAAGCGAGAGCTAGTACTAAGTTTCCATACGTGTGACACCACGAGACTTTTGTGTTGATCCACCTGCAATTCCTAAATGTTAGCGGTCCAATCATGTTCAATTTTACTGTAAGCAGAAAATCTGCTTGTTTTATTCAGAAAAGCAAAACTAATTTAATGAAAAGAAGCAGTTTTTGCTGAAAAGTTACTATTAAATTGGTTTGTCTTATTTCCAGTGTGCTAAGATATTTGCACTGGAAACTAAATTACATGACAGATGACAAATGTCATTTTCAAGCCTACTTTGATAACTGGAACACCAACAAGCTTAAATGATAAAAAACATTTTAAATGCACAAACGTTGCTGTAGATTTGAGTTTTGTCTGTTCAAATATACAAATGAATCCCTTCTGATAAGCGGTATGTGATATTTCAGCTCCTCTAGAATACCTTGCGATTTGTTTTGTTCTTCTTGTCAGGTAAAACGAAGGCTCATCTGTCAGATCCTAACCACCAGAGCTTGTTCAGGTGACACCCTCATACATCCTGGAGCAGATAAACATCTGCAGTTTATGATGTGAGCCGATGATATGTGGCTCTGCCTCAGTTCTCTGTAACAGCGTCTCACTCAGAGATGGTTGTCTCAGGAGAACAAGCCACTGTAAAAGCCTCATCTTTCATGTCCTCCTGGCTCTGAATCAGCAAATTTGCAAAGTGAAGCGAACATTCGTCGACCTTTAATTCGTCTCGGAAAGTTCTCAAAACACGACTCATCCTGCACATCACGGCCATCAAGTCCGAGACAAATCGGACCAAAGTGTTTGATAAGAGTTTGAGCCGCTGTGTCGTCTCCTTTAGGATGCAGACGTTTGTCCTTCTGTCTCCACAGGAGACTCATGGTTGGTTTAAAATGACTGTTTCTTTGTTACTAATATTGTCATTTTGGTCCATCTGATGATGTAACTTTTGAATAAATGATTGATTATTTGATCAGTTAGTATTTGAATCACTCTTCAGTAATTTCTTGGACAGTTTTTTTCAGTCATATTTTTGGGTGTCCTACCTTTTGACCTCCTGTATGACCTTTGTGCCTCTATTGGATAAAGTAACCAACTTAAGTCAGACGTTTTTGACCCGCCTCATTCTTGGGTGGACAAAAAACAAGTAGTTAATGCCACAGTCCCACAAAAGGCTCTTTTTACATTTCTCTGGACAAACCAGTCTTTTTAAACAGAATACGGCTTCGCTTTAAGGAAAGACAGAAAAAACCTCGTTAACAAAATGTCATTAGCAGCACTGCAGAGCTGTGGCAGTGATGGGAGTTAATGAGTTTAATCTACAATCACTCATGTATTATTAGGCAGCTGCCGTGCTGCAGGTGCTCTCCATTAATGCCACAGGCGCCTTTGTTAAAGCTCATCCACTCAGCGACCCGCTGGAGTTTCACTCCGACCCAAAACCAAACGGGATTTGGTTCTGGCACAGCGGAGCGTAGTCACTCTGCAGGATTTGGATGTTTCTAAATTTAATACTAATCCTAACAATGGTTCTATTAATTCATCATTTAGAAAATTCAATAAACCTTCCAAGGCGTTTTCATATTACCGCTTGTACTGCATGTCACACTGGATTACTCTTCTTGTCGCTCCTGAGAAGCAATAAACCACATTATGGATTATATTATGGATTATGAGGGAAAACACTCAGTGTTTGATCCGTAAATTAAAAGTGTAACTTAAGAAAATGAGCTACAGGCTCCCATAGGCCTCAATTTAGTTTTTCTCCACATTATTTCAGTCAAACTACATTATAATTGCAACTATTTGACATATTCACTGGAAGCATTTTCTTGCTCCATTAGTGAATTTATGGATGTCACATTTGACCTTTCACCTTTTAACCACCACGGCAACTTGTATTAGCCAAACAACGGTTAACACAAGTTGTTTGGCAGGAAGTAATTGTTCCAATTATTATTTATTCAACTGTATATTTATTATGAATTTCCTCTTTTTGAGAACAGGCAGTTAATCCTAGGGTCAGTTTTCTATTGATTGTTTTCTGCAGAACAACATGTAGCCTAGCATGTATGAAAACATGCTAGGCTACATAGCTGGTTAGCATCTCTGTGCTGTTGAGGCTGTTTAAAGGGAAACGCTGTTTATGACGCAGTGAATTCAGGTGAAGTCGGTCATTTGATCGACGCTCAGGAGGTTCGGCTCGGTTTCTACGCTAGCGGTTTAGAACCGTTGTGAATCCTGTTTACGTTCAGACAAATTAACTCGACTTGAACAAGAAGAAACCACAAAAAACTGAAACCATTTTCCTGTCTGGTTCTCCGGTTCCTCATTCACGGAGAAATTATGGCAGCTGCCATGATGGAGGGTGAAAGGTAGTTTTTTTTACCGAATCCTGTTTATTGCACATGTGTACAGTCAGTCATAATTAATTTTTTAAGGCCATTTATCACCCTGACCTTTAGGTGACCTTGCCATCTTTCCCACCATTATTTCCTGTTTTCTTGTACAAACTTGAACACTTTCACCAGAAAACGTTGCACCTTCTTCCACTCAGTTGTGTTGCTTTTCTTTTTGGTTTTTGTGACTATAGCTGCCTTCAGAAATGAGCTGATTGTTTCTGCTGTCGGTTCTCATGCAGGACTGGAAAGGCCATGTCTGTCTGTCTGTCTGGAAGATTTCTCCTCTTGTCTAATGACTGACAGCCACTCTCTCTCCCTCTGATATTTACTCAGAGTTATTGAACCGCCTGAAGCCCAGCTGCTCAGGAAAACCACCGACATGAATTTCCACAGCCGCGGTTCTCAAACCGTCACACGTTTGAGCCGCTGAGGCGAAGCCGCATCGCTGCTGCCGAACGGGTCAATTACTTTCACTTCAAATGACATTAACATCATCAGAACATTTATTTGCGTTGTGATCCATGTAGCCTGCGATCCATTATGCAGCTTCCATGCAATTGCGTTTTTTGATAGATTCATGCCCTGCTCTCTAATTATTCATTACTTCTGGAGGTCTGCAGGAACGAGATGAAAAACATTTCTGTGCTAAACGTCTCTCTCTCGCTTCCTGTCTCTGGTTGTTTCAGACTAAATGAGGCTGAAATTATTTTGTCTGAATAAAATATTTGAATCAAATCAAAATCATTTACCAACATAACCAAATCAAAAGCGCTAAAAACAAAAATAAATTGTACCTTTTAACTCTGCGCTCAGACTTGCAGCCTGTTTGTCCTCAGATTGAAACTCAGTAGAAACTGAAAACCTTCTCAGATTCAGTGGCACCTTTAAGACAAACATCCAGTAGCTATAGAAACAGACGAGGTGGATTCAGATGAACCAGTAGAAAAAAAAGATTCAATACTTTTTTTGCTGTTAGAACTTTTAACTTAAAACCCAATTTAATGAATTATTTTTATCAGGTTTTTCTGGAAGTTTATTTTCTGTTCAAACTGTTTTTCTTTCTACTGTGACCACATACATGCTCAGTATGAGAGACGGCTGCAAATTCAATGTGATGCGATCGACTGTCCTCTGCAACATCAGCAAGTTCCTTTGGATCAAACAGAAACATCATAAATTTGATTGCATATCAACTCTGCATATTTGTTAGAGACAGAACTTCCCCAAAGACGGAGCAGAACCCGGCTGCCATGGGATCCCTTCCCTCCCTCTCTCCCTCCCTCCACAGCGACGCTCATGTTTGTGTTTGTTCCACTGATTCCCATCAGCAAACACACAACTTTAAAACAACACCATCATCGACCCTCTGCAGCCGCTCGGCGCTCTCCTCCCTCATCTGGTCCCTGAGGTGGATTAAACACAGACACACCTGCGATCATCCCTCATTGTGAAGCCTCCAGCGCCTGCGGTCCGAAGGGACGGCAGGCCAGGATCTGCAGCTGCTGTTTTCCTGCTAACCGCTCTGAAACACCAGAGTTTAGCTGCTGCAACGCATCATGTTTAAATCACACAACTGAGCTCAATTAGTTATCAGCAACGGCTCCTTTATCCTGGGCTGCCTGCACAGCGGTGAAAACGAGGCTGCAGCAACGCTGCTGCAGCAGCTGCTGCAGCAATCGATACCTGCGTTTCACAAACTGACATTACAAAAATGTATTTTCTTAATGGAAACATAAACGCATAAAAAGCTCCTGGATGATGTGGTTTTTCAGCTGTATTGAAATAGATTTATGTCGCTGTAACAGGATGTTACTACTGGTGAAAACCACAAAGAAGACAACAGGAAGTAGTCTTCTTGGTTTGGTTTTGTCACCTCTCACAGCATCACGGATCATTAAAGGTTTAGTTTCATTGCAACGTGTTGAATTCATCGCTCTTCTGGAAAATCAACGACTGCAGTTTCCACAAAACGCCGCAAACCTAGCCGCTCCCAAGTAGGCGGGGCTTATCGCCCCAACACCTGAACAAAACACAGAGGCTCCTCTGATTGGCTGTTCACGTCATAATCTCATTTAATTGAAACACCACAATTGCAAAATACAGATAAAGATTTGTGGACATTTGATATTTTCCATATTGAGATCAAAGTATTGTAAAATTAAACGATCATGGCTGATCAATAAGCATCCAGTGCAGTGAAATAGAACATCAATGTGTCTCTTACCTGCAGTGTTGGGTGAGTTTTGTCCATGTCGCCCCAGGTAAGAATCCACACCTGGTCATGTGATTTATCGTAGAGCATCTTCACAGGAAACGGGTCTGTTGTCACCGCCTAGAGGTCAAAAGGAGAAGTGACGGGCGCAATGTTTTAACTAGACCAGAAAAAAACGCAGCAATAATTCAGACAAAAACTAAAAATCTGTTTGGAAAAACATTTTTACACATCAGACCCTTTAATGTGTTTTACTGGGATTTTAGTTCACAGACCAACAAAAAGTCCAACGTTGATTTAAAATGTTTTTCAATATGGAAATGTTGAGCTTTTTTATGTTAAGTGACCGTTTGAAAAGAAGATTACTCTGAATTAAAAAAAATATTACAGAAAATTTAAAGAAAAACAAAAGTGTAGAAGAAAGAAGATTGATATTTGTCAAGATATCAATAATTGTGCGAAAATGATGTAACAAAAATGTTTATAACAAAACAACATTACTGGTGGAGTTAGTGTTATTATATGGAGCAAATTTAATTCTAATTAAGTTAAATTTGACCAGTGATTTGGGTCATTATAATGTAGATCTGGTGCTGCTGGAGGAAACCCTACAGACTAGTCCAAAGTGCTTTGGAGCCTCCAGCAGGTCTTATTAACATCTGGATAAAGAACAGATTTGTGGAGTTAGCAGCTGCTATGGTTTACTGGACCTTTGACCTCTTGTCTTTTATTTGCCAACCAGATTCTGTTCAGACTGTAAGTGTAATATTTAAAACAGTTTCTGAATAAAAATCCATTCTGTGGTATCAAACGACCAGAGAAGACATTTTAATAATCCCAACAAGGTTTGGCCCATGAAGTTAGCTTTGGGTTTTTTCTGCAGTCCAGCTGAGCAACGAATAAATACAACAAACAGAAAGCTTTCACATACTGAAGATCAACTTTCATCTATGAAACACAACTAACAGGAGTCGTCACTAACAGAGAAACATCTTTCAAAATGCTGTGAACTCAAATCTTTGTTCAGGTTACAGATTTTATTTTTCCCTTTTGGATTTAAGCCGCTCAAAAATCATCAGATTAATTATCCTGCTGCTTGGAGCCGTAAGGACGGATTTAATGTTGGGTTCAGTGCAAACTAATAACCAAGAAATGCTTTGGATCCGTTGATAAAGCGAACAGCAGCTTTGATAACCTTTGCATGAACCGTGAATGAACAACAGCTTTCGAGTCAACAGAGGTGTTCCTGCGTCGGGAAACGATGAATGCAAAGCAGAAACAGAGCTGTAGTGTAAGTTGTGTTCGCTGCTGGAGACGCTTTAACGATTCCGCCTGAAACGCCACATGAGCAAGAATTGACAGAATACACAATAAAGCAGGAGAGGAAAGAACATGGAGGGATCGGCGAGGTGAGGGAATAAACTCAACCTCAGATCTGCTGCAATGTCAACAACAAGGAATAACACAATCCATTACCCGGTCTGCGGCGGCGGGCCGGCCGGGCGGAGAGCTGCTGACACGCTCACCAGCGGAGCGAGACCAGCAGCTCTGCTGTCAGTAATGGGGGGTGCAGCCCTCTGCTCCGCTCCGGTCAGCCGAGTGTCAACTCAGCGTGAGTCCATGAACGCTTTGAGGAGAAGCTGGACGCTCATGGTGTTTTCAGTGTGATGGGAGCAAAGGTAACGCTGAGGCCGGGCCCTCAATACTGCAGCCTGGGAGCCAGTCCACCACTTAAGAGCCAGCGTGTCGGAAACAATAAGCAAGAACTTAGAGGTGACCTCCTGAGCAGGTAGGGGTCCATCGAAACATCGTCGTCCTTAAAGAGATTTCCATCTGCTCAGTTCTGCCTCTGTCACTTTAAATCCAAACAAGCTGCTGGCCACGCCCCCAACTCAACCTTCACACTCACACCACAAAATGGCTGCTAACAGATGAACTATTATACATCCTTTGAAAAGCAGAAATGGAGCGTCCTACACAAACAACCAGAATGCAGCTTGTGGTTTCTGGCTCTTTCCAGCAGCCATTGTACAATGCATATAGTGGGGAAACCAGCTGACTAACCGTGCTGGTTGCTAGGTAACGGTGAGTCACTGCCTTGGATTCAGGTTTTTGAAATGGCTCGTTTTCCAGGCACCAATAAATATTAACATATTGCCAATAAACAACTGTTTTGGTTTTTTGTTATGTTTTTAAGTGCATGGTCTGTTTTCAGAAGCAGCTGAGATTTAAATAGAATTAGAAAAAATGTACAAGATGTGAATTTTGCAAAATCTCCTTTTTAAAATGCTCTGGTCATGGATTCTGCCGTCTCCTCTCTGCTTCTGAGGGACAAGAAGTGTTTTGTGCCCTGAGAGACCAGAAGGGAGAAGAAAGAGGAGCAAGAAAGGAGGATGCATTAACCCTCTGCAGCCAGAGGTCAGCCAGGCGGAGCCGCGGCGCGCAGAAAGGGCAATGAAGGATGGGAAAGTGGTTTTCCAGTGTTTGATGGAGTAAAACAGGAAAGTGGGCAGCTGGTGGGTCACAGGATGAGAAAGGTTGAGGCAAAGTGTCAGGAAAACATCTTTATGGACATATGTGGCGCAGCACTGCCTTTCTCCACAGAACTATTATTATATCTGTTAAAATTACAAGTTCAGTTTGAATACCTGAAAGAACTCGGGATTATTGAAACATGCAGAATAGAATCAAAAATAAACACAGTGGTGTTAATATTTCACAATGAATCAAAGTAAAAGACAAATAAAACTGAAAGACGTTGCAGTGACATCATGAATGCAAGATCCCCAAAAAGCTGCAAGCTGATGATGATTAGCATCATCATCATCAGTAGAGCAGATGTTTAATGAGCTAACCTACCACTGCTGTGTTAGCTTAGCTAGTAGCTGCAGCTAATTAGCCACCACTGTTAGCTAATAGCAGCAGTAGCCAATTAGCCACCGCTGTTAGCTAATAGCAGCAGCAGCTAATTAGCCACCGCTGTTAGCTAATAGCAGCAGCAGCCAATTAGCCACCGCTGTTAGCTAATAGCAGCAGCAGCTAATTAGCCACCACTGTTAGCTAATAGCAGCAGCAGCTAATTAGCCACCACTGTTAGCTAATAGCAGCAGCAGCTAATTAGCCACCACTGTTAGCTAATAGCAGCAGTAGCCAATTAGCCACCGCTGTTAGCTAATAGCAGCAGCAGCTAATTAGCCACCACTGTTAGCTAATAGCAGCAGCAGCTAATTAGCCACCACTGTTAGCTAATAGCAGCTGCAGCTAATCCACCACAGCAATCACTTATTAATAATCACAAAACAAACATTGAGCCTGAAAACAAAACTGAATGTTCTGCTGTTTGAAATGTTTAGTGTTGAATCCTGATGCATTGGTGGCGTTGTTGTAAGTTGCTACGGCAACGAGTCTCCTTGTAGCACAACCAGCAGAGTGTGAGACAACAGAAGGTTTTTGTGTTATTTTCACTTTGCTGCAGCGATCTAAATTAATAACAGCCTCATCTGCAGGTTTAATGGTTTTACTGGAAAGGAAAAGAATCTTGGTCTCCACAACTGAACCGATAAATCACCAAAAACTAAACAGATGAGAAGAAAAATCTCTAATTGTTGTAAATCAGAAGCTGAGATTGAAAATGAGCAACATTTCAGCAGCAGGGTTTGTGTTTGGATGACCTTTGACCCGTCTCTGGCCACTAGTTCATAATCCCTCCTGCTTTAAATCCCGTTTTCCCCACATGGATAACGAGGCCGTTTATAACGACGTTCCTGCTCTGCTGCCTGCGCAGCAGCTTCTCCCTCTTTCAGCTAATATCCTTCCTTCTGTCCCTCCTCCTTCAGTCGGGCCAATTTCCTCTCTTCCTGCTCCTCAGTATAAATGAGGCTGACCCTCGGAGGGGCCCTGAGGGAATCGGGCTCTAAACAGCCGTTACAGGTAAGACAAATGGCAGCGCAGTGGCACCCGCCCGGGCAGCACCCACCCGCCTGGGCAGCAGCACCCACCCGCCCGGGCAGCAGCACCCGCCTGGGCAGCACCCACCCGCCCGGGCAGCACCCACCCGCCTGGGCAGCAGCACCCACCCGCCCGGGCAGCAGCACCCACCCGCCCGGGCAGCAGCACCCACCCGCCCGGGCAGCACCCACCCGCCTGGGCAGCAGCACCCACCCGCCCGGGCAGCAGCACCCACCCGCCCGGGCAGCAGCACCCACCCGCCCGGGCAGCACCCACCCGCCCGGGCAGCACCCACCCGCCCGGGCAGCAGCACCCACCCGCCTGGGCAGCAGCACCCACCCGCCTGGACAGCACCCACCCGCCTGGGCAGCAGCACCCACCCGCCCGGGCAGCAGCACCCACCCGCCCGGGCAGCACCCACCCGCCCGGGCAGCAGCCACCCGCCCGGGCAGCACCCACCCGCCTGGACAGCACCCACCCGCCTGGACAGCACCCACCCGCCTGGACAGCACCCACCCGCCTGGGCAGCAGCACCCACCCGCCCGGGCAGCAGCACCCACCCGCCCGGGCAGCAGCACCCACCCGCCCGGGCAGCACCGCGCTGCAGGAAGCCTGATTTATCTGCCTAGCATGTGGCCCAGACAACACGTATGTAAAGATGTGAATATCTGCTGTTTCCTTTAACTTCAGATTTCAGCTGAGGTCAGGGGTCAAAGGGCACACTGCAAAAACACTCAATCTGAAGCATTTTTGTCCAGTTTAATGAAAATAAAGAAAAATTAACTGTTGTTTTTATTTATTTTAAGCAATAACCATGAGCTCAATATCGATGAATAAATACTTGTTCCCGATTTCACTTGACAAAATATTTGTAGTAAATAATCTGCCAATAGAAACAGACGTTTGTCATCAATATGAAGGAATCATTGACTCAACAAGCTGAAAAGTTGCTTGTAAACAAGTTTTCTCTGATTTAAAGTGCATGAAGATATTTGCTCTAGATCAGGGGTGCTCAAACTTTTTGAGACCAAGATCTACCTCATGACATGAAGACATACAAATTATAAATGAAACCCTATTGACTCATTTTCTATGCAAATATGCATCAGCTTTATCAGAGACGATAAAGTGATAGAAAACCTAATGCAGTTTCTTCCTCAGTGAGATCCTGACACTGGGAGCAGGTTACTGGTTTCTCAGTCAGAAGCTGGTTGTAAACCTGAGGCCAGCAGGTGTCAGTCAGTTATGGTGGATCTGAAATTTGATTTGATGACGTCAATATGAGAAACTGCAGACTGATAGGAGGAACCAAAGAGCTCTGCAGAGGTAAAGGCAAATCTTCTGAATTTGGGATATAATTAATGTAATTTGACATAATTATTAAGGTAGAAGCCATTTGTTTGATAGAACTTAATCAAATATATTTGTCCTATTTGATGTTGGTTGTGACGTTCACTGCAAACGAACGAGGTCATCAGTCCAAGTCTGTCGTTTATTGAACGTTCAGAAACTCCAGCGGCTGTGATGAACCACAGCGAAGGAAAACAAAGTAGAATAACCCGAACAACTCAGAACCACTCGCACCTTTTTACTCTTTTTCTCTCTTTATCGTTAAGCACACCCGTTGCTCTGGCAACCGCCTGCGCCCCGCAAGCCGAGCAAAGATTACGATAAAAACGTTCAGACCGTTACGATATCAGGTTCCAGTCTTTATTATTATTTAATGAAGCTACAAATGTTTTGGATCTTAGTGAATATTTTGAAAAGTCTGTCAGAAGAGGAAGTGCTGCTCTCAGCGTCCTGGAGGTCTTCAGTTTGTCACCTGCTGCAGAGATCCACTCAAAACCTCCCCGCGATCGACCGGCGGATCGCGATCGACCGGCGGATCTCGATCGACCGGCGGATCGCGATCGACGTTTTGAGCACCCCTGCTCTAAATGAACCAAAAACATTTTGTAACATTTTGTGTTTTCAGAACGTTTTTTAAATAAATGAATAAATCTTGAACTTTTCCAGATTTTGTCTTTACAAGCACAAACTTCAGAGAATATTATTTGTATTTTATGCAATAAACCAACAAAAGTTCATGACCATCAAACCAACTGACTCCAGATGAGGAGAAACTGCAGAAACGCAGCTCCTCCAGAGGTTTCCAGAGAAGATTAGTGAGTAAAGCAGGAAGACAAAAGCAGCAGATCTCAGTTATTAAAACAATATTTCTAGCTTTGGACAGCCGATGGATCCGATCCATTACCCAGCATGCTGCAGTCTGTGCACGTTACAACCTCCTGCTGCCAGTTATGAAGCTAAAGCTGTTAGCTTAGCGCTAATAACGAAAACCACTGAATTAGTTCATTTAAATCAATATTAAAACTATTTTAACATGTTTTACTCCAGGAAAAGTAAAAACTAATTGTCCAAGAGTAAAACAGTGTTTATTCAAAAGTAACTGATCAACTTATCGTTTAAAAATTACATCCAAATGTAATTTTGGATGTAAAAATCCAGAAATTTTACTCAAATAAAATACGAAAAGTTCGTTCAGGTTGATGCAGCTGCTCACCTGAACCACTTTCTGGGCCTGGATGTCGACGACCAGCAGCCGGCTCTGCAGCGGCTGCGTCACGTAGATGTACTTCTCCCTGACGTTGACGGCTGACGACCAAACGCAGCGCTGCGGGGTCACGCCCTGACCTTTAGGACACATCTCCTCCTGAGGAGGACAGCAGGATGAAACGAGCGTGGAGCAGAAACGATTCCGGATTATCACCGAGTCGTTCAGTCCGTTTCACAAGAAGCTTCAGCTGCAGAGTTCAGTTATCACTTTATGCCACCAGTACAAACATTGACCCTTGACCTGATGTGAAACCAAGGAAAAAGTCATCAGAAAAAAAAAAAGGGAGCAAAAAGTCTTGGGCTGTAAAAACATTCCTGTGCAGCAAATCTAACAACAGTCCAGATTATGTAAACAGCGGAATGAACCTTTAGTTTTGCACTAAGAAATATTTTTGTAACCAGATCGTAATGTTAGCGTTGCTAGCTGGTTGCCGTACTTTTACCATTTGTATGAATCTTTCACATCTTTCCTGTCACTTCAAAATCACAAAAGATTTCAAACTGGTTCTGCTTCTCAATGAAGGACCACTGGAACACAGACTGCTGCAGGTGAGCCACAGGCATCACAACTCTTTCACTGACAAACACAAAATCTTTCCAAGTATCTGTGGATTAGAGGATCTTAATACACAAGCATCCAAAACCACCAGATTCCTGATCATTAAGGTTTTCCATCATAAACCAACCAGACGGCTTTTCACTGAAATAGAAGATCTCATTTCCTTCCACTTGACGTTTTGCAACGATGATGCTTTTATATAAACATAATAAATCATCAGGCAGAATCTTTAAAACCTGTCCTGAGCTTTTCTGATCCACTCAGAAACTTTAATTCAGATTTAAACCCAAACTCCAGGTTTTCTAACCTACAAAGCCCAGAGAAACCGGACACAGAACCATCCAGGCTCAGGTGAGTCCGCCGCTGGCGCCGCCACCGCCGGGCGCCGCCGCCGCTGGCGCCGGGCGCCGCCGCCGCTGGCGCCAGCTAGAGAGACTTCTGTTTAGCAGGAACTGAACGCTACACGACTTACAGCGTTTACATCGATCCTTAACACCATTACACTCCTGAAAAACCCAGTTTCCCCTGGAAAACAGGAATCTTGGACCTTTATGACGCGTCGGATGTTTGAAGCATTTTAACGCATTTGCTGTGAACAGAAGCTTCCTTTTTCTGAACAAGGAGAGTCTGGCATGTATTTGTGTTCAAACATATAAAAAAGGAGAAAATCATCCCAGTTTCACAGCAATAACTGAAACATCCAGACTTTGCCTGGTTTTCTCTTTACTATGTTCACATATGAGCAACATGCAGCTTCCCTTTGGGATCTAAAGAGTTTTGCTGAGTTGCATGAAAGCAGTTCATGGTTCAGATGTTCATGGTTCAGATGTTCATACGTAGGTGGCGACGATCCTCTCTGTCCGCTTCAGGTGTCTCCGTATTTCACATTCGCTGGGCTGCAGGACAGTGATGCCTTCATCAGAAAACACGTAAAACATGTTTCCCACACTCAACCCTGCAGCAGGACAAGAAAGGAAATGTTGTCAAAATGTCGCCTTAGAAAGAACAAATGCAGTCTGAGCCACTCTAAATGCCACTCTTGTCAAATCTGGCATTTGTGATGGACATTTCAATTTCAGAGGGACTCAGTGAGGCTCCTGTTAGCGAGCTATTATATGCTGCGGCGGCGCGCAGGCCTTCACAAGCTGCTGTCAGCCTGGATGCAACCGGACGATCAAGCTCTGCGCTGGAGACACGAAACGCCACAGATCCAGCAAAACCAGCCGTTTGACAGAACCGCTCTTCTGAATGTCATTCTGTATCGCAGGCGCCCCCTAGTGGTCCGTCAGGACTGAGTGGAAACAACCATTTATTTAGCTGCTTCAGCTGCAGCTAGCTTAGCAAAGCATCGTGTTCAAAATGAAACCAGGTGAAACCAGGTCACTAAAAACAAAAAGCTGAAGATGCCAGAGGAAAGCAGAACTTTACATAGATCCATGTAGATCTAAGTAAATCCATGTAGATCTAAGTAAATCCATGTAGATCTAAGTAAATCCATGTAGATCTAAGTAAATCTATGTAGATCCATGTAGATCTAAGTAGATCCATGTAGATCTAAGTAAATCCATGTAGATCTAAGTAAATCTATGTAGATCCATGTAGATCTAAGTAAATCTATGTAGATCTAAGTAAATCTATGTAGATCCATGTAGATCTAAGTAGATCCATGTAGATCTAAGTAGATCCATGTAGATCTAAGTAGATCCATGTAGATCTAAGTAGATCCATGTAGATCTAAGTAAATCCATGTAGATCCATGTCTTTGGAGACGATCTGTGAGCAGCGTCGCCAAAGCAACCAAGTCTATTTTTCTGTTATTAGGTTTATAAATAGCCCTAAAACATTATTAATACACACAACACTTGTAGTTTTTGGATTTCTAACATTGAAAGCTTAGAATCCATAAATTCAAAAATCACAATAACTCCAAACGTCCCGAATTGACTTGTTTATTTCTGCCAGTCACTTTTACGAAACAGCGCCACCTTTCACATCAGGAGGAGCAAGACCACCTGACCTTAAGGTCACATGGGGGCAGTGATGCCGTCTGACATGCTGCTGTGTCAGGATGGGAATCGGGAGCCGGTTCGATTCCCTGGAGTCGTTTCGCTGTAACGATTCTTCTCATCAGTTGCCGAGACGTAACAAACGCGTCAAACATCCAAGATGGCGTCGCAGCAGAAACTCCACATGTTCATATCCCACAAGATGAACCTTGAACTGCAATAAAACATCCAGGTCCTCCAACAGCTGATCAGCTGACCTCACAGCCTCAACGCCAAGCGTCTGACACGTTGCTTAGCAGCATCAGCTGGTCTTAGGGGCGGAGCCTCAAGCGTTAATCTGCTGGTTTAATGACGGAGCTGCTCTTCATATGAACTCTGCAGCTTCAACATTTCAAACTTGTTGGTTTTGAAAAAGTCTTAAATAAATGGAAAGAAGTTAAAAACTAAAGTTTATTGTGATGCTTTTCAACTTATTCCACTGAATCTTACAGCAGAAATCACACGAAGCTTCTGCTGTTTTAGCATCAAATGTATTTATAAAGGAAAAGCATAAAATATGGCTTGTTTCCCTTTTTCCCTTCAAATGTATCAGTAAAAGCTCTGATCCTCTGGTTCCTTGCAGGCAACGTTTCCTGGAGGAAACGACTTTTTGGTCTTCAGGTCAGAAAATCTGCTGACCCCTCAAAACAAGCCTGCAACAATTTCAAGTGCACAAAGAAAAAAAGATATTTTAAGAACTGATAATGTATTACCTTCTTCTCTCCAAAGGATGTTTGCAACTGCAGAGAAGAAAAGAGGTGGAAAAGAAAGAAAAACATTAATTAATCTTAGCTTACACATTTGCTGCAGCTGCAAATTGTTCCTCACTGGTGATGACAGGCCACGTTTTCTCCCAACTCTGAAGATTATTATTTTCCTTAGTGGAGACATGCAGACAGTTTTTCAGTTTAATTAAATGTCTAATTAAATCTCTCTAAACACCGAACATCATCTCATAAAAGTGATAAAATCTCCTCAAAAGAAATATTGGCAAAAAACAGTTTTTTCCAGTCGGATGAACCTTTAAGCATAAAACATAAAAAAAGACAAAACTTCCACATTTCCATTTCATTCATCATTTTGTTTGAGTCGGCTGAGAAGGACGTTGGTTCAGATCCTAACAGTCTTTCTTTTGGTTTATTGATAAAAAGCTCTTGGTAAAATTTGAAGCTTTTATGGATAAACTGACATTTCAAATCAGCTCCTGAGAAACTGAGCATTTCCCCAAATTCAGTTTTTTTTTTCAGGGTTTTTATTCGTCTGGTTGATTTTGTTTGTCCCAAAGTCGTCCAGGAAGCCAAATAAATGTTTAAAATCTTTGCTGCAGTACAATAATCCATTACATTTCATTATTGCTACAGTTTTTAAATAAATTGTTTATCTTCCGCTAATAAACACTGAAAACACAAAATCCTATTTTTGGTCTCGTTTTTAGCACAAATATGAAATAAGATTAATGTCAAAGTAATTTTTCAGCAAGAAATAGAAGCATGTTTTACGTGAATAATTCCTTCATAAGGAAAAAGTTCTGGTTCCATTGCAGATAAATTAACTTATAAAATGTCGTTACAAGTGAAATAATCTGCCTATGAAACGTTTTCATCAGCTGCTGTGATTCACACAATCAGTCGCCCAAAAGCTACAAACCTTCCTCAGTTCTTTTTAAAAGATATTTGACTTCCTCTATTTGTTAAGGTGCTAGCTGAGGCTAATGCTAGCTGAGGCTAATGCTAGCTGAGGCTAGTGCTAGCTGAGGATAATGCTAGCTGAGGCTAGTGCTAGCTGAGGCTAATGCTAGCTGAGGCTAATGCTACCTGAGGCTAGTGCTAGCTGAGGCTAATGCTACCTGAGGCTAGTGCTAGCTGAGGCTAGTGCTAGCTGAGGCTAATGCTAGCGTGTGCACTTGGCTCTGACATAACCCCGAGATAATCAGGATTATGGATTCGCCGCAGTGAAACATCACTGATGCCAGATCCTGCCAGCTTCTTGCTGGAGGACGTAAAGTTGCTCGCTAACGATGACTAGCTTTGGCTTCAGCTCCTAAGTTGTTAACAAAATCTTAAGTCTACACCAAATATATAAAAAATAAAAAGATGCTAATTGTCAACACTACAACCAATAGATAACAAGGTCAGAAAAAGTTTTAAGAAAAAATAGAAAGGGAGAGGGAAGCAGCCTGGTTATGCTAACTTGACTATGACAACCTCAACATGGAGACGTGCTGCAGGATTCAATGCGTTTTGGTTCAATTAATAAACAACAAAACAACTTAAACATCAACTGACAGATGATCAATAAAGCAACAACTGCTTTATTGTTTAAATAATCTAATCTACCATCACTGTGGTACATGTGTTGTTGCCTGTTGCTATTGCAACAGGCAACTTTAATTAATTGTTAAACTAGTTAAATGTAAACAGTAAAGCGCTAGCGGTGCGTAGCATCGGCTACATGCTAAGCTAATGTGATCAAGGCTAAACAGAAAGGTTTTTTTTGCTTTGTCTTTATTATAATAAACATCTAATGTTCATCCTGACTGTCCTGGCAGCTGAAGCCAAGAAAGCTGACATAAAAACCAAATGATTAAATTTGGCTTCTTTTGTTGCACAAACGGTGAAACCAGCAACTGGAAACCTGCTTTGGAAATCAATCAATCTAAATCTGTTCCAGAATCTATTCTGTAAGATAGATGCATTATGTTAAGAACTTTCCTGTCATATAAAACGCTGCAGCCAGATCCATCACAGATCCAGATCCATCATAGATCTAGATCCATCACAGATCCAGATCCATCATAGATCCAGATCCATCACAGATCCAGATCCATCACAGATCCAGATCCATCACAGATCCAGATCCATCACAGATCCAGATCCATCATAGATCTAGATCCATCATAGATCCAGATCCATCACAGATCCATCACAGATCCAGATCCATCATAGATCTAGATCCATCATAGATCCAGATCCATCATAGATCTAGATCCATCACAGATCCAGATCCATCATAGATCTAGATCCATCACAGATCCAGATCCATCACAGATCCAGATCCATCACAGATCCATCACAGATCCTGCTTCATGCATCAGACTCTGGTTTACCTGCAGCTTCTCGTCGCTTCGCTCTCAGAATCACGATTTGCTCGTCTGCAGCTTTAATCTGCTTTAATCACTCAGTTCTTTAAAAGACACTCAAAAGAGAATCTGTTTCTTTCAGGCCTTCGTTTCATCTGGATTTAGCAGCTGCCTATTTGCATATGTTCTTATAGCGGCTTCTGTCATGTTTTTATTTCCATTGACCTTTTATGCCTTATGTCTTTAGAGCTCTTATGCTCTGAAGTGCTTTGTGAGTGCAGATGAAAAGGGTTTTATAGATAAATCAATTATTGCTCTGTAAATGATGGCTTCCTGATCTGATGTTATGTCAAAGTGTTCGACGGGGATTAGAAATGTTCATTTGCATTTCTAAGCTGCAGATTCTACAGTGTTAAAAATAAAAGGAAAATATACCATAAAACATTTTTTCAAAGCTTCAGATTATTTCCAGGAAACATTCGTCATGAGAATAAATAAATAAATCTCTTAACTTCTTTTTCTTTTTAACTCTTTCAAGGATGGAATAAAAATATGACAGAAAACTCTAAATGTATTTTATCTCTTCCGCACAGGCAGAAAGTTAAACATCTGAACTCAAACCTCAGCAGAAATCTGTAAAATAATGGCATCAATATTGATTCAACACAAATCTTCTGGTACTTATAGGATTTGACATGAATGCAGAGGGAAAAGAGGTTAATATAAACATCCGGAAAAATGTAAAAATACGTTTCAAATTTATGCATCACTTTTGTACAATCCTTCAAATTAAAAACATAAAAAGATGTAAATAAACATGAATAAAATCCTCACTGGAATGGAAAGGAATAAAAACAGTTTCTAAAATATTCTGTAAAACGTCAGATAATCTCAAGAAGTTCCACTTTAAAGATTTACAGATTAGAAACATAAAACTGTTCAGTTTGTATTTTGTTCATTGTCTGATTCTCATTGGCCGATAAAAGCTCATCTAAAATAATAATTTAATCCCCATAAATCACATGGAATACCTTAAGATCTCAGTTTACAAACATAAAACCTCCTGGAGCTTTGAAGGAATAAAATGATTAAAACCCAGAGCTTGGAAAACCTCCAGTTTATTAAATTAGTTTACTTTGTAAGCAGCAATATCTATATTCAGAGCTTAGTACTTTAAAAAAGGTCAAGAACAGAAAAACATTGAAGCTTTTCTGGATGCATTAAACTAGAATGTCGCATTTATTGCTTTTTAATAAATGTTTTCCCTCACATTCACGTTTTATTGGTTTCTGCTTTTGGCTCCAAATCATCACACCAGGAAAACAAATGGATCACAGAAACTCGTCCTTTTTTACTTTTGGGCCAGAAAAACTTTTATTTTCATGATTTCTTATTTTATGCTGCGTTGCGTCGTTTGTTTGATTTATTGGAAATGACAGCAGGTCTCACCGGGCCGACTGGGTCCATAAAGGAAACAGGCAGAACCGTTTGTGGAAACGGGTTTGGTATCTGAATGGAATAAAGTGAGACTTGCGTGTTTTCTTGGCTGAATCTTCCACAAACAGAGAGGAGATGTCTTCGTCCACTCCCGCCTCGTTCTTGGCGATGCATGTGAAAGCGCCGGTGTCTTCGTAACGGACGCTGGCGATGAACAGTTCGCTGCCGTTGGCTGGCAGGAGAGCAAACAGAAAGCAAACCGTAAACTGCATGTTCTGATCGGTTCTGATTGGTTCTGACCGGTTCTGATCGGTTCTGACCGGTTCTGATTGGTTCTGACCGGTTCTACGGCTGTAGAACCGATAATACGTGAAACCTGCAGATGAAGCCGCGGCTGGTTTAGTGCAGAGGAAAATAACTCAGAAACATTTTTTCCCGCTCTCTGACTTGGCGACGCTACAACTCCATGTTTCGGGTTTCGACATTTAAATCACATCTAAGATTTATGGTGTTTTAGTGGTGTTTTGTGGTGTTTTTGTGCTGTTTTATGGTGTTTTTGTGGTGTTTTATGGTGTTTTGTGGTGTTTTTATGGTGTTTTGTGGTGTTTTTATGGTGTTTTTGTGGTGTTTTTATGGTGTTTTTGTGGTGTTTTTATGGTGTTTTTGTGGTGTTTTTGTGCTGTTTTTATGGTGTTTTTGTGGTGTTTTTATGGTGTTTTTGTGGTGTTTTATGGTGTTTTGTGGTGTTTTTATGGTGTTTTTGTGGTGTTTTATGGTGTTTTTGTGGTGTTTTATGGTGTTTTTGTGGTGTTTTATGGTGTTTTGTGCTGTTTTTATGGTGTTTTGTGGTGTTTCTGTAATGTTTTTATGGTGTTTTTGTGGTGTTTTAGTGCTGTTTTTATGGTGTTTTGTGGTGTTTTGTGGTGTTTTTATGGTGTTTTTGTGCTGTTTTTATGGTGTCTTTATGGTGTTTTTGTGCTGTTATGGTGTTTTTGTGCTGTTTTTATGGTGTTTTATGGTATTTTTATGGTGTCTTTATGGTGTTTTTGTGCTGTTTTTATGATGTTTAATAAATGCTGGCCATGGTTAGGCGCTGTGTGTCTGACCACATGCAGCAGATCTGTCTCATGTTCATCATAGCCATATGGGAAACCATAAACACCAGCAAGGAAACAGGTTAATGGTCTCATGTGTGACTCCATGCTCACACACAACACCAGGAATCACTGCAGCTGCTAGTTTGATTCCCAGAATCAGGAGCTAAAATCACAAGAATGAACTGCAGGAGCATCAGAGCGAAACTGATGCTGAACAACTCTGCATTGTTCTGGCTCTATAGAAGCAGGTCATGTAGATTGAAGGGAAAAATCCATCATCAAATGTTTGCAGAAGCTTTTTGTGCAGCTGGACTCCGATCCGCTGCTCCGACCTGCAGCTGCGCTGCTCACAGGTCACTTTCTGCAGAAACGTTTAAGGCGGATCCGGTTCTGTCCAACTGAGACACAATAAACACGGAACCTTTTACTCTCCATCATTTATTCTATTATGCTCATATTTACAAAGTTAGGCTCCATTTTTATGTTATCAATACTTTAAGATGTAAAATAACGCTTCAAAATACCTAAAGCATTTTTGAATATTTCACAATATATCAAATGCAAATGAGTTTTGAACTTAATATATTTTGATATATACATTAATATACATTTATAAATACATTAAATTTATATTAATATATAAAAAATTCGAATATAATTTAAATGTAATATAAAAAATATAACTATCTTTTTAAATATATATATATGTAGAATATATTAGTATATATTTTTGAAATATATGGCTGTATATTTATTAATGAACTAAATTCAGATTAAATTACAGTGTGTTCAAAAGTATCATCTACTATATTTGTTGATCTATTGGGTTATTATATTTTAATATGTGTTGAAATCAGCTGCATTATGATTCAGTCTAATTGCTGCATGCAGAGAAGCTGGTTCTGGTTCTGGTTCTGGTGGTTAATCTGTAAACGCTGAAGCTCCCAGTCTGAGTGTCAGAGGGTTGATGAGAGGCTGTAACCAACGGTAACGACCCCCACTCGGCAAAGAAACTCCTTAATGAGAAGGAGAAGAAGCAGCTCTGTGTCTTGAACAGCAGCTTAAAGACACAAAGCCTTTCTGGTTCTGGTTCCTGCTGATAATACATTAAAGTAAAAGGAAATTTAATTTTTCTTTTCTTCCCCCATCAGTGAAAATTTTACCCACATTAATTTTAACTGCCTGAACCAGCAAAGTCATTTTGAAGCTTTTCTGGAACTGATCAAGACAAAGTTATTTGGCGGGCCGCTAACGGCCCCCGAACCACAGCTTGGACACCCTGAGGTCAAAATTTGTCTTGATAACAAATCCAGAAGTTACTGCAATAATCAATAATATTGTTGTTTTTCAATAATAAAATAAATCAAGAACACATTCTGAAATATAAACATTAAATTCTGATCAACATTAAATTCTGATCAACACTAAACGCTGCAGCTGTAAAACATTTAAAAGAGACAGACTGACTGATTGATAGAGTGATTGATTGATCGATCGGCTGATTGATTGATTCAGTGACTGATTGATCGACTGATTGAGGGACTGATTGATCGATCGATTGATCGACTGATTAGGTGACTGATCGACTGATTGATTGATCGACTGATTGATTGATTGATCGACTGATTGAGTGACTGATCGACTGATTGATTGATCCACTGATTGATTCATCGACTGATTGATTGAGTGATTGATTGAGTGAGTGATTGATCGTGTCCTGTGCCGCTGTGCTGCAGCTCCTCACCTATGAGCGAGAGCTGATTGGAGGCGCTGAGCTGCAGATCCATGCCGTTCTTCAGCCAGAGCAGCTTTGGGTCGGGGATGCCGTCGGCGTGGCAGTGCAGGCTGGCCGACACGCCGGGCTCCTGCGCCTGCGTCTCCGGGTAAACCAGGATCACCGGAGGGACTGGGACACAGCAGAGGGACGGGGGAAGCCATGATTACGTCCCGTTTCATGGTGGGCCGCGAATCTCAGGGGATAAAAAACACAAACACCACACGCTACGACGGAGAGAGAAATTTATCTCAACCCGCCATGAAATATATTCACAAATAACAAGAATGCGAGGCTCTGGGGGGCCGTCCGTTATTACAGCGCCGGCCCTGCGTGAAATAGATGCTGGACGGCTCCACCACTTACTGCGTCCTCTGGGGGGACGAGGGCCAATGAATGCTGAGGAACTGAAAGTCACAGGACATATGAGGTAATAGTTTACAGGAGCAGGTGGGATGCAGTTCGACGCTGATGCAAACCTGCTGCTGTTATGTTGAAGAGCCTTCATCACCGTGACCTTTAACCTCAGTAATGATCTTTACGGTTATTTTTAGTCATTACAATAATTGTCTCTTAGTTTAGACAAAACTAAGAGACTCTATAAACTCGACCAAATCGTGGTGATATTCAGTATTTATGAATATCAGCCTGTCGACTCAATGATACGGGTTGGGGTCAGGGCTAGGGGTCAGGGCTAGGGGTCAGGGCTAGGGTCAGGGTTGGGGTCAGGGCTAGGGGTCAGGGCTAGGGGTCAGGGCTAGGGGTCAGGGCTAGGGGTCAGGGCTAGGGGTTAGGGCCAGGGTTAGGGTAAGGACACCCCAGCTCTGGCGCGAAGGACGCGTCGTTTCCTCTTGCAAAAGAAGGAAATCGGCCACAAATGGCCGCGATTCAAATAGATCCTCCTGCAAGTTTTGGCTCTTAAAACTACTGTTGTTTACTGGAAGCTGTACTTTACAACTCCTTTTCAGTGTTTATTAGGTGTTACTTTATGGTGCAAACACATTTCCAGCAGCGACGGCGTCTCACTCGTAAGTGCTAAAATAATATAGAGCAGAGTTTTACACTGCAGTTCTGTGTACTTAGGGAAGCTGAAGCTGCAGCATTGTCATTCTCCTCAGCGAACAGATTGCTTTAATAGCGAAGCGGGATGCAAACCGCCCACTTAGTCTAATGTGGCACTTGGCTCCACTCCATTCCACCTTATCTCACCTCCTCCTATCTTCTTTGAAATACCCTGAATACCCAAAGCAAACATTTGGTAATTGCCCTCTGCTGATAACGCCTCCCCAGACTGTCTGCATGGCTCCTCTTTCCACTCAGAAGCATAAGAAGAAAATCTGTTTCATATTATTTTGCTTAATTTATTTAGTGGGCAGAAAAACCAAACAATCTCATATTTTTTATTGAAAAATCTTAAATCAGGGTTTGAGCAGGCAGAGATCTGAACCTGTTCTGATGTTACCAGTTTTTCTACCAGCTCAAGTTTTTTTGTGGATTTTCTGAAAAATAAAATATCCTGTGGGATTTGATCTTCAAAAGGAGAAGCTTTTAATAATCAGATCTAATATTTTATATGCAAGAGCGGTTACTAACTACTGCAAAATTATTTATTTCAATTAATTATTTACACCAGTGAAACTACGGCATGTTATTGTCTATATTCAGAAATTTCCCGCGAAAAGACCATCGTCTCCTGTCCATCCATAGCGCCGTTTCCTTTAGTCACCTAACCGCTAACTAGTTAACGGTTCTACCGGTTACTAGTTAATGTCATTTAGTTCATTTGGTTAACGTCCCCACAGTTTGTTGTTCCATTTTTATTTGAAATGCAACAAAACAAAAAGTTTGTTTTTTTTCTAGCATCCACAAAGTAGGACAAGGACAAATGTTTTTAGCATTTCTTCTGGAAATTTAGGAAAGAAATGAGCCACTACTGACCATTCACCTGCAGCACATGAGTCTGATAGAGGTCTTCGTAGCCATAGGCATGGCAGCTGTAGTTCCCCATGTGTATTGTTGTCACCTTGGTGATGTACAGCGAGCCGTCGTCCCCAAAGTCCTGCAGCACCAGGAAGAGACGGAAGAGAGGAGTTAGGACTGGTGGAGATGGGAAAGGGAGCGAGACTGGGAAGAATTGGGTGCAGCAGATCCACAGGGAGCCGCTGGGAAACGCAGGCAGCTTGATAGACTGCAGAGAGCGGCGCGGAGAGGAGGACCGCAACAGCAGGGCATGATGGGAAGAGACAGGGGAGAGAAAGAGTGATGGGGAAGGAAGACAAACCATGAATCAAGGGTTTCCCTGTTGAGCTGAAGCAGGCATTTGGGGATTTGATCCTGCTCTCCCCTCATGACGCTGCCTCAGCCTGATAAATGGCAAGGGTTAAAAATATAAAGCCCATTAGGCTGATGAATGGAGCCAGAGCTGCTGGTGCAGCGTGAGCCAATCAGCAGCCACTTCCTGCTACAGGTTGGCGTGAATTAAAGCATTAAACTCTCTGCTGTTGCTCGGATCTGATGGATCCGACGTGACATCTAACCTTAAAAACCGTAAAAAGCCGTTTGGTCTCGTTTAGTGAACTAAATACCTTAGAACACTAACAATAAAACCACATTAATAACAAGAAATAGGAGCTTTTTAAAAACCAGAATTCCCCCATTTTGAAGAGAAAGTTCTCATTGCAGATTATTTTAATAAAAATATTATTTTGTTTGTTCATCAACATTAATGAACTGTTGATTTAAATCAAGCTCCTGTCTTGGTGAAGAGTAAATTTTCTCTGATTTGAAGACATTTTCTCCAGAAACTGGCTGTAATTCTGTTGTTTCTGGGCTGTAAGATGACAGTGAATGAAGAATTGAGGGGGCAGAAATGAGCCAGAGGTTATTCTTTGTTTTACAGCTGAAAATATCTTTTATTCTTTCTGAAGAACAAATGAGAACATCAACTGAAGTTCAGCACATTTCATTCAGTTTCTGCACATAGAAACACAGTTTCTAGTTTAATTAGTAATAATGCAGAATCTATTTTCTATTAAATGACATTTTTAATTTGTCCTGAGTGTAAAAATCAGCTGAATGAAACATTCATCACATCCACGTGAATTAGAGGTTTTTTTGGAGACTGATATGATTTATCTGCATATTTTCCTTCTCTTTCCTCCAATGGATCCATGCAGCCAAACATGAATCGGTGTGTTTTGTTCTGGGCTGCAGCCGTTGCTCCGGTGCAGGTCTGAATGCGGCGCAGAGCTGCAGCCGGGCGACATCCCCGCTGGAGTCACGGCCCCAACATGTGAGGCTGTTTCTGATCCTCCCCCAGCAGACCAGCATGCTGCTCGTTAACTAGCAATCAGCACATGGTGGAGCGGCGCCGGGTGGAGCGGCGCCGGGTGGAGCGGTGCTGGGTGGAGCGGTGCCGGGTGGAGCCGCGCTGAGCCTCCACCCAAACAGAAGCCGTTCATTAAGCGCAGAGCTCACATTAATCGTACCATTTCATGCAGGACGCTCGGCAATCATTGTTCTCTTATTTCCACTCGTTTCTTAATTTCTAGTAATTAGTTTTAATGCAGCTGAATATCGGAGCTGAAGAAAGACGACCGCTTCGCTTTTGTCTGCAGGAACATGAATTGTGCAAACTTAAAACACGAAGTAAAGACGCGAGTATAAATCAGCTGAGATTGTTCAGCATCGTAATTTTCCATTTCACAAACGGCTGTAATTGATTTATTTTAGTTTTAATGTGAGGAGGCGCCCAGCAGCCTGTTGCTGCTAAAATCAACCAGATATTAATTAGGCAGAACACAAACACTGAGCGAAGGTTTTATCTGAAAGTTCAATGGATTTTATGTTGATTATGAAACATAATTCAAACTCATGCAGGCAGCAGCAGGTCTGATGACCCACCGACAGAACCTGCTGCTGGAGTTCTGACTCGAACCAGGAGGATGGAGACACCGCCTGGTTCTACACCGCCCAGTTCTATACCGTCTGGTTCTACACCACCTGGTTCTACACCGTCTGGTTCTACACCGCCTGGTTCTACACCGCCTGGTTCTATACCGCCTGGTTCTATACCGCCCGGTTCTACACCGCCTGGTTCTACAGCGCCTGGTTCTACACCACCTGGTTCTACACCGCCCGGTACACCGCCTGGTTCTACACCGCCTGGTTCTACACCACCTGGTTCTACACCGCCCGGTTCTACACCGCCTGGTTCTACACCACCTGGTTCTACACCGCCTGGTTCTGCACCGCCTGGTTCTACACCACCCGGTTCTACACCGCCTGGTTCTACACCGACTGGTTCTACACCACCTGGTTCTACACCACCTGGTCCCACACCACCCGGTTCTACACCACCGAGTTCTACACCCCCCGGTTCTACACCGCCTGGTTCTACACCACCTGGTTCTGCACCGCCTGGTTCTACACCACCCGGTTCTACACCGCCTGGTTCTACACCGACTGGTTCTACACCACCTGGTTCTACACCACCCAGCTCTCCAGTTCTTCACTGAGAGATTTTAAATTCCTGCTGGTCGTTTATAAATCACTGAATTAAAGATTAAGATCTGCTGCTGCTGGATCAACCTTCCAGATCTATCAAACATGGAGAAGCAGCTTTCAGCTTCTATGCACCATAAATCTGGAACAAACTTACAGAAAACTGGAAAACAGCCGAAACACCGAGTTCCTCTGCATGAAACCCGCCTGGTTATATTTGATCTGATTTCATCTTGATGACAGAACTTTGTGTTTATGATGTAAAACTGCACAGAAATAAACCTGATAGATTGGTTGGCTGATCTGTGACTGATGCAGATTATAGTTTATTTACTGAAACGTCACACGACTTCAGACTTAACTACCGTTTACCTGCTGGATTAATGCAGCGCTCATTAATCCTCACAGTGTTCTTGACGCCAGGTTCGTATTAACACTTTGTTTTCTTTCTCAGTTGAAAGTCAAATGACATGAGTGAAAATGATGCAGTGATTGAAATAAATTGGTTATTGGAGGAATGATGGACCCAGAACCAATATCTGTGGCCCGCCTCAGGAGTCAAACATCCAGTGACAGTTTGGACTCACGTTGATGTCCTCCAGGTCCAGGAAGTTCAGGACGATGCCGTTCCTCTTCCAGATGATGGGCGGGCGCAGCGTCCCCTGGATGGCGCAGGTCAGGACGGCGCTGAGGCCCACCGTTACGGTGGAGGAGCTGATCCGCTGGTCCTCCGCCAGGCTCAGCTGCACAACCTCTGTTGGTTTGGAGCAAATCGGTCAGAACCGATGAAGGAGCCAAAAGCAGGCAAAGTTTAAACCACACATCTAAATGTTTGTGCTGATGAAACTGTGTTGGTCTCAGAACCGCCCACTGGTGAAACACGTCCACTGTGGACCACGGATCAGAACCACGACTCTTTGTAAGTATCACATCATGCACAGTTATTATTGTCAAGTTGTGTAAACATCTCTCCATCCCTCCCTGCTTTCAGGTAACGTTTGTGTGCAACATTTCTGCCCAGAGGAAAGTAGACAGTTTGAGTTCTTCATTACTGGCCTAGTCAAAACCAGCCCAGAAGGTTCGAACCGTCGGCTCTTGGGAAACTTTTTGCTGTTGAGTCGATCGGCAGGATTCTCCATTTCCAGCCTTCAACATGTCACAACTCACTCAAACTAATCGTGCTGCTTGCAAATGTTGTCAGTTCTCCATCAAACTGTGAATCTACATGTCATATTTCTGCACAATGATCTCCTGCTCCTCTTCCTGCTGCACATTTCAGCACCATGAAAACGACACGAGCAGCCGGATTAAAAAGGATCAGAAACCAGAGCAAGAAAATCTGACTTTAGACACATCAGCAGGTGGGAAAGTTTCACATCCGCCTGAAGAAATGAGGAATTTTGCTCTGGAAGCAAAACAGTCAAATCTCCTCAAACGACAGAACAACAAGGAGTATTTCATTTTTTTATTATTACAGTGAAACTAAGTCCTTTTATTATTTGTCATGAAATATATATATATATATATATATATATATATATATATATATATATATATATATATATATATATATATATATATATATATATATATATATATACATATTCCCTTCTCACCCACCGCGGGTGGTTCTTATCCTCTGAGCTCGGGTCCTCTACCAGAGGTTATATAGATATAGATCTATATATAGATTTATATATGGTTCTCTACCAGAGGCCTGGGAGCTTGAGGGTTCTGCGCAGTATCTTGGCTGTGCCAAGGACTGCTGCACATTTCTGGACTGAGATGTCTGATGTTGTTCCTGGGATCTGTTGTAGCCACTGCCAGTTTGGGGGTTACTGCCCCGAGGGCCCCGATGACCACAGGCACCACTGTGGTCTTCACCTTCCAGGCCCTCTCCAGTTCTTCCCTGAGGCCCTGGTATTTCTCCAGTTTCTCCTTTTTCCTGATGTTGCAATCACTTGGTATTGCTACATCTACCACAACGGCTTTCCTCTGATGTTTATCCACTACGACAATGTCTGGTTGGTTCGCCATTACCATTTTGTCTGTCTGGATCTGGAAGTCCCACAGGATCTTAGCTCTGGCGTTCTCCACCACCTTTGGGGTGTTTCCCACTTTGATCTCGGGGTTTCCAGTCCATATTCTGCACAGATGTTTCTGTACACTATGCCTGCCACTTGGTTATGTCGCTCCATGTACGCTTTCCCTGCCAGTATCTTGCACCCTGCTGTGATGTGCTGGACTGTCTCAGGGGCCTCCTTGCACAACCTACACCTTGGGTCTTGTCTGGTGTGGTAGATCTGGGCCTCTATTGCTCTGTATATATATATATATATATATATATATATATATATATATCTATATCTATATCTATATCTATATATATATAGATATAGATATAGATAGATATATATATATAAAACCTAAACATAAAACTTGACATAAATGTTTGTCAAGTTTGGATTAATAATTAACCCAAACTTGTTTTTTTTATTATTTTGTAGTATTATAATTATTTAGCTTTTGAAATTTGCTGACCTCTGACCTCAAGCATTTTTGTTTTCCTTGGTTTTCTGCAGCAGAGTTTTCTGTATGGTTTCTCAGAGTAAGCTCCATCTGACACGATTATCTGTATCCACACTTCTGTTTATTGTATCATAACTTTGCAACATAAAGTCCAGCAGATCTCTGCTGTTGTGACAGAACGCCGGCGAGGAGGCCAGTGGACTCTCAGCTTCGCTGCAGCAGCCACAGGTGACAGTGTTTCATTGTCCAAACAGACTGCAGGTAAGATGGCTAACAGGCTCTGAGGTGTTTGTGGGAAGCTTCCTGTCACAATGCAGACTTTGACAGAAGCAGTTGTAAAGGACCTGAGGATATTAGCTGTCTGTTCCACGCTGCTCTCCCAGTGACAGATGAATGTGGGATGACAGCTCGGTCTGCCACTGGCTTCTCAAAACGCCCTGGGTGCTGTACGCCGCGCGCCAACCACATTATAATTCAGCACATCAGTAATCTGGGTGGCAGAACAGGCTCTGAGTGCCATGTGACAGATGAGAGATGAAGTGCATTGATCTGGCTTAGAGGGCCAGTTGCAGGTCGCGCCGTGAATCTCAACTAGACGCCAACGATACGAGACCGCTGAGGTTTGCAAAGTCAGCAGCAGCGGCAGCCGACTGCTCAGACGGACATCCGAGGCCGCTTTGTATCGATTCTTTAAAAGGCAGACGAGAAGTGTAACGGCTTAAAAGTCTGCTGGTGAGAAAATCTCTTTAGAGTTCAGTCCAGCTGTAATTAATAGACTGTGGCAGATAAAGCACAGCGAGGCAGAGAGGTTATTTTAACAGCTACAGCTGGAACATACAAGCATCTACTGGCTCCCTGGAGTCCAGACTGAAGAGCTTAAACACCTAAAAACTAATGAAATCTGCTTTTTAATATTTGCTGAAATACAAACATTTTCCTGGGCGTTTCCTTTAGATAATAATTGGACAGATAGTGATTTCACCTGCAATGCTTTTAAAAATGCTTAAATATTGGCTTTTTAAATGAGAAAATAAAACAATGACAAGTATTGGAAACTTAGTAATGTGATGTTTACAGCATCTAATGAACAACTACTAATATAACTAATGTAACGAAGTTGTAATAAAGAAATAACCCGGGTTTATACATGTGGAAACCATAAAACCTGCCAATGATTCACTTTTAACATTTAATGTTCACATCTGAATCAGATCAGGTTGTTAAAGTGATCATGTTGCACCATAAATGGCCCCCGCGCCGCATTTTGGGCAACATGTTTCCAGTGTCCAGCAAGAGGAAAATAGAAGAAATTCATCCAAAGCTGAAATCTCAGGAACAGGAAAAAGAGTTGAATAATAAAAAAAATGCAGATAGAACAAAGAAAAGCATGAAAAATAAAACCTTGAAAAAAAGTCTGAGAAAATGCAAAAAGCTAACCGATATTTGACTTGGAACAGATTTAAAAAATGTCTTTCCATGTGTTAGGATGAAAAGACATTTGATGCAGAGCAGGTGGAATATCTCAGAGTAAAACTGGAGTTTGTCCCTTTTCTCCCTCCGTACGAGGCGAAGCCCTGGCGAGCGAGAGAGAGACGTCAAACCGGGACGCAGAGAAACAGAGAGGAGGAGAGGAAGAGAGAGGAGGAGAGGAACAGAGAGGAGGAGAGAAACAGAGAGGAGGAGAGGAAGAGAGAGGAGGAGAGGAGGAGCACAGTGATGTTTGTTTTAAAGAGAAGCAGGAAGGACGCCTGCAGAAACCATGAGGAGGAGAAAACAGGTAGAAAGGTCAAAGGTGAAGCTAGAATGAGCCGGACCAGAAATTAAAGAAAACTATTTCACAAAAACAAAATATGGAAATCAGTGTTAAAAATACAACACTGCAAAAAACCAAATCTCATCAAGTATTTTTGTTCAGTTCTTGCAGCAAAAACAGATGAATTGTGTTCAGTAGTGAGATATCGAGTTGTTTCAATATCAGAATCCAGGTAAGTAAATTCAAATGAATGCCACATTTTCACACTTATCTGAAAACATAAACATGTGTTGGTTTAACACATAGAATCCTGATAATGTGAAAAGTTTCACCTGTAAAAGTCAAAGTAAGTGAACAAGTCAGCAAATTTATAATTTAGTTTCAAAGATGGTAATCGACCTTCAGATTGTTTTATTTGACCTTAATTTGAGACCCAAGATCTCAAATGAAACCTGCTTCTGTGGACCAAAACTACAAACAGCAGAAAAATGTAAAAGTTACTAAGATATTAGTTAAAAACAAGAGCAAGTTTTAAACACCACAAAAAGGAATGAGCGATATAAACTTCATAATGTAGAAACAATAGAAATTTAGCCAACAATGCAGATCAGTAATCGACTGGCTAACTGCGGTAATGCTTGTTGATGATGTAATCGACTGGCATCAATACAGAGGAAGCACAAAGCAACGCAGCAGAGCGCAGCATCTGCCTTCTGTTAAAAAAGCAGATGCAAAAAGCATTAATTATCTGAACCAGGTTTTGGTTTGACCTCTGACGGTTTTAGCGGCGCGCTCAGGAGGAGCGCAGCAGATGTCACGGTCAGACAGCAGGGAATCGAGAAATAAAAGCGCACACGGGCCAGGCAAAGCTCGACGAGTCCAACGGACCTGGGTTCAGACCTCTTACCGTGACGCTCAGAAGAAGCACAGCAAATGTCACGGTCGGACAGCGAGGAAGCGCCAAAACCACAGAAAGAAAAAACTCGTAACAGTGCAACCCCACAGGAGCGTGTACAGACTCAAAACCTAGTGCGGTTTAAATGCCCCCGTCTCTAAATACCCTCAGGAGGGTTAAACAGTCAGACCAGGAGCAGGAAAATGTAATCTACAGTGTGTGGAAGAGAGAAAATACAAGCAATTTGCTGTTTAACAAAGCTTGAATAGCAGCAATGCAGCCGATTCATTCTTAGTCACAACACTGGGAACAAGATCCAACGCAGACAAAGTTCATGGATGCCAAAGCTACGAGTCAATAAGTTAAAATCTTTCAAATCTGAGTTGAAATAACCCACAACTCATTAAACTGCCACACAGTCTCTTCAAAGCTCCTGGTTGAATTTGTCTTTTGTTGGAAATGTCACCATTCAGTGGGGAAAGTCCTCTGTGCTTCAACAAGCTTCACCAGGAGCAAGAGGATGAACCGAGGCTTCAGCTCATCCTCTCTGTGGAAACGCTTGAATAACAAACTTTAT